ATAAATAATATAAAATAATATAAAATAATATAAGCATAACTTATTAGCAAACGAGATAGCATTTTCCTGCCTTTCTCTTTTCCCCAGTAGTCTTTAGTGGGTAAATAATTAGGTGTCGTATGTGCTGGCTGGTTTTTGTGATAGATGTATAACTTACTGGCGTGCATACATATCCAGTCTTTGTGGTGCTTGATGTAATAATCTTTTATGTTGGGGATATTTTTTGTTAATAAGTATGTAAGTGCAATAGAAACACGGTAATTCTGAGGCAGCTGCTTTCTTGCTGGATAGAGTAATGAATAAGTAAGACCTAGGTATTTGCACTAAGTATTGGGATTCTGTCTGGAGAGCAATTAGCAACACAGTGAAGCATTCAGCAACTTGATAAAGTCATTTTCAAGTTCTGACTGAGCAACCGCATAGGAAAGCCATTATGAAAAGTAGAGCAGGCAACAGTGATCATGAAAATAAACTTCTGTAAAAGAAAGTATTTGCAATCTTTGATTTCAAATGCTGAGAAAGGTCTAAGAGGTGGGAAGCTGATCAGGATGGTGCTGGTTTCATTGTAAAGAGACGAATCTTCCAGGCTGCTGAGTAGGAATGAAGTCATTGCTATGTCACTCTGGTGCATGCGTAGGCAAGATCGTCCAAGATGAAAGCATGTGCAGATCTTTTGCTTATGAGTTGATCAAGAAGAGCTTTAATTACGTAGTGGTCACTTACTCGTAGGGAGGAGTTGTTAATTGCAGTGGCATCATAAAGTACTCCTGATTAGCAAGTGAGATTCCATTCTTTGTGCTGGGTTTGGTTTCTTTAATTCTCTAAATGGCTCACAACAGTTGTTAATGGAAAAAGAATACAGTAGTTTGATTGTATTTACTGACTGTTCTTGATTATTGAATCCTTCATTATAGTGGTTTACTGCCTTGAGAAATGAGATTGATTGGCAAAATGTCCAGCTGTTCCTGCTAGCTGACCAAATAACACTGGTGACTTACGTTCTAGGATGTTCAGTTTTTCAATTGACGTTTATGAGCATCCAAGCCTTTTGGTCTAGAAAACGTTATAGCTAATATTGTCCATTAGAAAAGTAAAGCAGCCAAGATCCTTCTCTTTGGAGCTGCAGCTGCTGCTCTAGAAGAGGAAGGGGGGCATCAGCCTCAGGAAGGAGCTCCAGTGAGACTGTGTCAGATAAGAGTTTTGGATACTTGATTATGGTAGCACAAACGTGAGACAAGGATGTTGTTTTGCACTATGTTGGTATACATTTAAAACAAGAAACAAGTGGTCTTAATCAGATGGGTGGAAAAGAGTAAGTAATGAGATACTGAGGCAGTCTCTCTATAGAGTCTAAGAGGTTGTGACAGCAAAAATAATGAAAGTAGCAGAGTTACTGGTAGAATGGGATTATTGTGCAAAGAATGGATCTAGGTATCTGGGGACAGCATCCCAAGGGGAAAAAGGTAGAACATTATCAGAAGGACTGGAAGACCAGGTTGCAGAGAGTTCTGGCGATGGAGAGGAATGGAGGAAATGGAAATTATTAAAGATAATGATTAAGAAAAAAGATTGTTCAGGTGGAAAATAGCTACAGTCAGTAATGGCATTATAGGAAGGTCTGTAAAATTGAACTTGGAGCAAAGAGATATCTAGTAACTTTGTATAAGCTATTATTAAATAGTCTACCGAGTGTCTCAGCTCAGCAGTACCCCCATTCACCCTGAATAAATTCTTATCCTGAGGCCTGACAACAGTGAAAATCTCTGCATAGTTCAAATTGACTTTCCTTCCAACTGCTGACCAGTCAGCTCTCCATGTCACAGATGTATCTGGTCTAGGTGACAGGAGGTCTAAACTGGCCAGAAGCCTAAACTTTTTGGAGTCCACTGTTCCAAGTGAAATTCTCATCAGTGAAGTGTACCCTGTAGCTTGAAACTGTATATTGGGTTGTAATGAAATATTTCAGATATGTTTTTGATATTCATCTTAGAGTTGTTGTATTTTTAAATATGTCAGGAAGAGAATAATTTCTGCAGCAGCCAACATAAGCAGTTAATGAGATAGCTGCGTAAACATGAGAGGCTGATGTGAACAAGTTACTCTGTGTATCAGGGCGTTTATCTTCTAAATTAAATAAGGTGCAACACTTTTTCATGTGTTATAGAGTAGCTGTCAATCTGAGATCTCACATTAAGAGTCTTACTATGTTAAGATTACCACGTTGTCATTAAATTCATTGATATTTTGCTTGTACCGTGTTTTGCATGTACTAAATGACTGTTGATTGCTTTGCATAGAACTGCTGTAAGGTGCAAACTTACAAAGACTTAACCTAAACTTTTTCAGAAACCACATCCGATCAAAGTGACATTGAAGGACGGATCAGGGCTCTGAAGGATGAACTACGGAAAAGGAAGTCTGTGGTTTGCCAGCTGAAAAAGGAACAGAAAAAGAGACAGAAGGAAAGACTGAAGGCCCAGGAAGCTAGTTTGATCAAACAACTGGAGGTTAGGAAAAGTAGGAAGAAGGGCGAAATAAAAGATTGTTAGCCTTGGATAAGTCATTATAGTATGGATGGTGTTGGCACAATATTGTATCAGCAGCTGTGAAAGACACGTTGTTGCAATAGAAGCGTGGCTGTGCTATGGCTATATAACTGTTTACAATAATGAATGAGAGACTTGAGGCAAAAATGCCATTCCCTTTAAAAATTTGTATCTTGAACAGCTGAATAGCAGTGTTCAGGGGGCTTATGTATGTCTATACACATTAGTATCCTAGCTGGGATTAAAGAGTGATGCTCATATAATTTGCTTTTGAAAGTGGAATATTAAAATTTCTAGGATACATAACTGTAGAGCTTTAGGAAGTTAAATAGATTGCTTTACAGAAAAACAGAGTGTATAATTTATTAATTTTATAGGTTTTGGTTGCTGAATTGTAGTTATGGTTTAGTAGACTAACAGCCGTAACTGTTTTTCATGTGCAGACGTATGACGAGTTTATCAAGAAGACAGAAGCAGAGCTGAGCCAAGACCTGGAGGCATCACCCACTGCCAAACCTCAGATTAAAACTCCATCCTCAGTTGCTGCTGAAAAACCTAAGATCAAGGCACCGCCACTGCAAAGGTGACTGGGATTTCTTTTTGAGATTATTCCAAAACTGCAGTGAATGCTGTTTCAGCAGAAACCACGTGCGCAAGGAAAGCTGTTAACTGCTCTTCCTCAAAGCACTGGACAGTGGCAGCATCCTATTGACCCAATTACTGGTCTCATCAGACCCAAAACAAGATACACTGTCCCTGTAATTATACACATCTCACTTTTTTTCCTGCCTAGCCTTTCAGGTTCTATTTTCAAGTTGTCTCAGAACAATAATTTTCAGTTGTGCAAGAGCTGTGCCAAATGGTTGTGTGGATTACAGACTCGAAGGAATTTTTTCCTGTTTTGCTCACTCGTTATGCCTGCTGCACTGTGTGAGGCAAGCCATTCATCTTTGCAACTGAAATCTGCTTAGATCTAAGGTTTCAAGAGGTAGAGAATTCAGCCGATTTCTGCACTTCCTACTGTATTTTAAGCATTAAATTTTTTTTTCAGCAGATGGTGCAATTTTAAGGCATTCAGTTAAAAACCCCTGTTTTTCTTTTTTGGCTGCAAAAAAGACTAGTTTGATTACTCTTCTAGAAAATTACTTTCCAGGACTCTCCAAAGGTTCCTCTCTGACTCCATTCCTATTTTCTCAGGTCACAGTATGTTGGCACACCAAACTGTTATCATTGATGCGGTGTTATGATTATAGATGCTTGTATTTCCATTTTTATCTATTAAAAAAAAAAACATCAACCCACACTCTGGTGTAGCCACGATTCATGCAATTGCGTTTTTCAAATTTAGGCCTGAGACGACTAAAACCTGGAAAGCACTGGCTGAATCAGAGTGGTCCAGAGCATCTTTGGAATCTATTTCGGAGCATGCAGGTATGTAACTGCAAGAATCTGTGCTACAGATTAAGGTCTTGAAGACGGACTGTTTTTAAATTCTTTGATCTTTTCCTTCTTGATTCAAGAAGAGGTTTTAAGAGAGGATGCAGACTTTGTAAAACCATAATGATTAATCTGTATTTTTTACTATTTTTATTTAGTAGGCTTCTGCTTTTGCTGCTTCCTGTATATTCGGTATTTATGTTTGCTCTTGCTGAGATTTGTGTGAAACCATCATTAAGTGCCAGCCTTTTTTCCTTTCTTTTGTCTCTTGTTCCTTTATCACTTGAGGCAAGTAAGGAAACTAAAAATAATGAAGAATTTAGGAACAGGGTGGGGTGGTATTTTTAGAAACTTTTCAATGTTTTGCTGTTGATCATTATCTATCTGGAACCCGGGAAGTAAAAGAATGTCACTCATGTCCATAGGGAAGCTAGTAATGTCGATTTCTAAGCTCATATCTTCTTTTAGCATAGAAACCTTGATGTTACTTTTGTTGCCTATGGTTGCAATTTTCGATAAACCAATGCAGGCTGTATGATCTGCTGTAATTCACTTTTTATTTTTGTTCAAGATGCTGTGTCATCGGGAACTGAGACATCTGTGTCGGTGCACACCAAGAAGGTGGCTGAGACAGATGTTCATGCAGATGGACCTTCCAGAACATCTTCCTCTGTTTTAACATCACCGGCGCTTTCCAGAACAGGATCTGGTGATTCCTTAGATAAGGCATCCTTATCATCTCTTACCGGAGGCTTGAAAGACACTAGCAGGACATCCCATGTGTCAATGAACATTGTGGTAAATGCATCCAACTATGAGGCTGCCTTCAGTCATAAATCTGAGGTAGAGGAAGATTTTAAATACACTAAGTCAGAGGAATATGAGGTTGAAGGTTCTCATGTTAAGCCTTTGGAGAGTTCTGATGTCTTGTTGACATTAGATAAAGAACGGGAGAGCTCACTGGAAGTCAGCTGTGCTGAAAACAGCCACTCTCGGAAGGAGCTCTTTGGTTTGGCTGTGGAAAGTCTTCATGGTGCAGAAGAAATCTTAAAACAGAGACTGACAGAAAAGGATGCTGTAACTGGCCCAAGTGCAGAAGAGTCTTCTTGCAAACTGAGCAAATCGTCAGAGGAAAAAGGTGATCTGCTTTCAGAACAACTCTTTAGTCAAAAGGAGCCATCGTACCTTGAGGACTTTGAAGAATCCTCCTCTAGAAAACAAGCATCAGTTGAAGAATCACTTCCTGGTGAACATTGCAAAGATGACTTTGAAGCATTTCTTCTCTCTCCTAATGGGGATGCTCAGTCACTGGCAGAGCGGTCGCAGCACACACAGAGCAGCAGAAGCAGACCCACCAGCCTCAGCAGTGATGGGGAAATCAGTGAATGCCTCAGTGACAGGTCTCTCTCTGGCAGCATGCATTCAGAGAGGTTATTAGAACTTAAGTCCCCAGCAGAACTTATAAAAAATACTGAACACAGAGATGTGGAGCAAGAGCAAGCCCCTACTGAATCACTGCAGTGGACCTCTGTTTCTGTCCCAGAAGACACAGAGAGTTTGGCAAACTTCAACATTGGTGACAGAGTACTTGTGGGTAAAGTCCAACCTGGAATATTGCGATTCAAAGGTCTGACTAAGTTTGCCAAAGGGTTCTGGGCTGGTGTGGAGTTGGATCAACCGGAAGGGAACAATAATGGTAGTTACGACGGTATTCAATATTTTGATTGCAAAGAAAAGCATGGTATTTTTGCTCCTCCTCAAAAAATCTCTCACATTACAGAAAGTATTGATAGTTATTTAGACACAAAAGAGGATGAAGACTCATCCTTTGATGACAGACCGGAGAAGCAGCACGAAGCTGAGCAGAAAGATGGAGGAAGTTCCAAACTTGCCAAAGAGTATGGAAGCCAGAGCAGAAATGCAACAGAAAACTATTCCCAGGAAAAAACTTCTGCAGACACAGCTGCTTCAGAAGCCTCAGCTGGGGAAGTGGCTGATGAGAAGTTGTCTTCCAAAGCAAACAGCATAAAGGAGATTTCTGAAGTTACTGAATCACCTGCCGAAGAACAGTCAGTGGTGGATTATCTGAAGCGTGCTGTAAAAGAGGAAGCCAGCGTTGCTCCTCTCGTATCTGGTGGTGTGGATGAGATTTCCACTGTTCAGTTGGATGACATCTCAGACTGCCTTTCTGAAAAACTGGAGAGGCAGAAGACGCTGGGGGAAGAATGTGCTGAAAATTTAGATGATATTTCTCCTGAAGGTGTGGAAAAGCCTGCAACTCCACTTCTGGATTTGCTGAAAAAAGAAAAGAACCAGTTAGAAGCCCAGCGTAGACTACCACTTAGAGAGGAAGAAAAGTCAAAAGACCAACTGGAAAAGGTCAGTTTGCTGACAGACAGTCTACTTAGAGATTTTGTGAAAGACACAGTCAATCAGGTACAGGAAATAATGAAGGTCAGGAAGGAGAAAATCCAGCTCAGCAACCAGGTGCTCTGCGATGTGAAGGAGGAATCCAGTACTCCCTCCCAGCAAGTAGAAAAGCAGATTCCTGATGGACTGAATAACTTCTTTCTAAGTTCCGATTTGGAAGATGAAAGAGAAGAAGTGTCCTCTCCAGACATGTGTCCTAGACCAGTGAGTAACAGACATCTTGCCCTGATCTTAAGAGCTGATTGCTGACTGAATCGAAGGAATGCTGTGTGGCACCAGTTTGTTTTCTTCCAAGTTCTGTTTGATGATGAGATTGCCTGTATGTGTGTATTCTACACGTGTGTTTGTGTGTGTCCTGGTTCACAACTTGTTTTGAAAGACACATTTTGGCACATGAAAGTAAAAAATACTTCATTTAGGTTGCATTCTGTTTACGTGCCCAATTTGTATTTAATCTTTACTCTCAATTGTTATTCTAAAAATTGAAAAATATAATAGATAGTAAACTTATCTCTATTATTGATATGAAATAATCATCTGCAAGCATAATTATTTGCTGTGGAGACCATTAGGGTATCAGACTGCACTAGGCAGTGAACTAATAGTAGTGAAAGTTCAAGCTTCCTGAGAACAACCAGTAATGATACAGATACAGAACTTGACCTTTCTGCTGAAGATCCCACTAAAACTGTCTGCTTTGCCATTGATCTCAATATATTATCAACACAGAAGGATTCAGCCCGTTTCACTCATGTGAGCGCTGCTCAGTCACTAAAACAGCCATCACCTGCTAAAAGTTTTTAGACAGTTGATTTAGATCTGAGAGTGCTGGTAAACGAAGTAAAAAGTTGTATGTCACATTATCAGTTTTTAAACCGCTCAGCCTTTCATAAACAGTGACACATTAGGACAGACAGTGGGTAGGATGCACAGTCTTTTTAGCTGTGTAGGAACCCTCTGGAAGCATTTATCAGGAGTGGTAGAAACCCCAGGTACTTGAATCAAAACATTTCTACTTTTACTGTGGGCTATTTATTACTTTTCTGTGTGTGTGTATATTGCCAATTACATTAGTAGAGCATTTAAAAATGTAAGTTGTTAGACAGCACTGTGACACTGCTTTTATATTTACTCTGTGGCTCTTGATTCACAGGAGAGTCCAGTGCTTGGTGCCAGTGGTCAGGAAGAGCTTGCCAAGAGACTGGCAGAGCTGGAGCTCAATCGGGAGTTCCTGAGTGAGCTGGATGACGATCAAGACTGGTTTGATGAGGACTATGGCCTGAGTTCCCCTACGGGCCAGCATAAGCAAGCTGAGGAACCAGAGGTGCTGCCTGAGGTAGAACTGCAGAAAGTGCCACCAAAGCCATGTGAGGAGCCTTTGGCAGTCCCTCATACTGCAGCGGAGGTGGAAAGTATGGTGCATGCAGCAACTGAGGAACTCTGGAAACTGAAAGAGCTGGGTCGTGATCTTCAAAGTTTCAGCCTTCATACAGATCTTAGCAGTACTCCCAATGAGCAGGACGTGGACACAATGAACACACAGGTTTATAAAAAGGTACAGACTTCAAGCATTTTGTTCCTGCCCTTTGAATGTTTATCATGAACGTGCAGCAGTCTTAACTTTTACTTCTCTCTTTAAGATGGTATTTGATTTAACAAGAGAGATCTTTGAGGCAATCTTTGCTGAGGATCCTAATCTAAATCAGCCTGTTTGGATGAAACCGCGTAGGATCGCATCTGCTTACTTCCGCCGAGTAAAAGATCCAAATGATCTGGATGAAATCAAGGTAGGAAGAAATCTTTGTCATGCAGGGAAAGTGAGATGAAAAAAATTGTACTGGCACTTGTTTGAGTGTTAGAAGATCGTAACAGGTGTATCCAGCAAAAGAGTTGAGAGGAGAAATGAGATTAGAAACCCGAAAGGGAGTTTGTCAAAATGCTGCTTTTTTTACTGAACAGATTTGCCTCGCTGTTCTTTTGGCTGAAACTGATTGCTTTTAAACCTCGGTTTAAAAGTCCTCTGTGCATAACTGTGCCAGAGTGACCTTGGTGTCATAAAACTGACATTCTGACAGACTGCTGCTTTAGCAGATTTCAGTGAAACTCTGTATGGCTGTGCTGGCATGGATCCAGCGGTAGGGCTGGGCCAAATGGGATGGAGCTGGATTTTTTTGTTGAGACGCACCTACGCTAGCCTGACTGAGGACAGTGGGAGTTGTCCGGAGGGACCTCGAATTTGGTGTGGGCATTACTGTATTTGGCAAGGCAAAGGAGTCCACCTCTTACTGGTGGTAGTGCTCAAGAAAGGACAAAACCCCAAAAGAACGAGAGTCTGATTGGATCTGGGTTAATCTGGCAGGACTGGACATTCAGAAAAAAACCTCTTTCTAAAAGCGTTCAACAAACGTTCCCTGCAGCTTATCAGGCCATAAATGAAGCCTTCCACCTGTACTGTTTCTTCTGAAATTAGGGAGGCTTTGACTCTTACGTTGATTAATCTGCTGAAGATACAGCATGTTACCTGTCTACGAGTCAGAAATAGCGTCTAGATCACTCTGTTAGTTGAGAAGACTTTCAAGAGCGTGTGGCAGGGGAGACCAGGGACATAGAACAAGGACACCAAACTCCTACCCTGCTTTTCTGTATTATTCTCCCGTAAAATTAATTGTCTTAATTTCCTGTTTGCTATACTGCTCAACTGAAAGTTTCTGTTCTCAGGATTTTTACAGCAGTGGGTGTCATTTTTCTTTCTACCACTTCTGGATTTAATAATTGTTCTGCCTGTGTAATGCTGCCTCAAAGACTTTCACTGTGACTTTCTTGCGTACACCCTGTGTCTCTTAGCTAAACAGAAAGTTGTTACCCGTTTTATAATGTGACTTTTCAGGGTACATTGTACGTACATTTAATTTCTTAGCTCAGATGTGGTAAATATCATGTTTACTGTTCTGCAGAGGTTCATTGCAGCTGAAGTATTGAAGTTGTTCAGCCTGAATAAGGAGCCTAATCCCAAAACAGACTGGCAGAAGATGATGAAATTTGGGCGGAAGAAACGAGACCGAGTGGATCATATACTGGTCAGTGGAATCTTAAATAAATCTTAACTAAGCAATCACGTCAGATAACGTCCACTAGGCTGAAGTGTGACGTATGATGGTATTTTTCAGTATTCAGTTGTGCTGTTTAAAGACTGCAGAGCAGGCAATGAGGTCTTGACAGAAGGTGTTTAACTTCAGAGAGCATGCTGTTGACAAAAACAGATGTCCTGTGCCGGTGAAGTAAGGCGACTTGAGTGAATTCTTTGTTCATGCCTGCTGATTTCACTGGAGTATAAGTTTGCCCACACCAGAAAGTTTAAAGCATGAATTTACAGAAGGAAACACTGAAATATTTGACTGAGATTAAACTTTTTCTTTGGGAATATGTTTTTCTTCTTCCTTTAATTTAAAATGGTTTTATTTTGACATAATACTATTTAATTGGAGACAGCGATACTGAGAACTTAATAAACCAGATCGCTAACCAGATTCAACTGAAAAGTTGCGAAAGCCATTGGATTAGAACAGCAAAGGCTTTGAAGAGACGGTATGGGATGTGATAATCCCTGGTGCAAGGTAACCAGTCTGCCAGATGGTAAGCGTTTCCTCAGAGCTAAGCAATGAGTAGAACTTCTGCTCCCGTAGTACTTGTCATGAAGTAGTGAGTGCAGCTGCCACTACAACTGTGTGAGATAGAGCATGTCCAGCTGTGTACTAGTTTTTGAAAGTTACTTGTTGACTTGTATTGCAGGATGATTAACATCTTTATTGGCTGTAATGATAGTGAAGGTTCTGCTTGGGAATATGAGTCGTCATTAATACCGTGCTTCACTTAATTATACCTGAAATTGATTCTGCACACGAGCACATACAAGTAACTTCGAGTCATAGGTCGTGTGGTCTTTTAATTGCCCATCAGTGGAAGGTTTCCAACACAGGCTTTTTCCCAGGGATTTAATTTTAATTGTATGTAAACAGAGTATCTGTGTAGAGGACCTGCATATCCTAGTGTGCTTGATTCTAGGCCACGCTCAGTTCTGGGGTGCGGAGGCTGCTAAAGCATGCACAAAAAAAGTCGTATGTTTAGATACCTGAGAGGAATAATAGTACAACTATTATGCTTGTGTACCAATTCCAAACTTCTTTGAACCGTACCTAAAAAAGTCCTGACTGGAAACATTTGTTCTAGCTGAAGTTATCCAAAGTGCTTTAGGTGGATTAAGTTTGAAACTCAGATGATCTAGTCTGCAATTTACATGCAGGCTGAGACATCAAAGATTAATGGAGCTCTGACAAGCTTGGCTTAATAAATAACGTCTTTAATTTTATTTTGTTCTCAAAAGAATATGGTAATAAAATTTTAGCTGAAGACTGGGAGTGACTCTGAAGATTGCAGCGTGCCATACCTGAGCAATAAGGTAGTCTCGGTGGCATTGCTAACAAATTTATACTGTAATGTGGGACACTATCAGAGAAACTTCTAACTGAAATCATAAAGAGATAAGAGATTTTAATAAAACACGATAAGCAAAATGGAACAGTATAAAATATGAAGTATCTGGATAGCTTTCTCTGTCTTCTAGTCGGCCTCCAGCTTAAGGTTCTATGAGTTCTGTGATCATGTAAATCCAGAGTCACTGTTGGATATACAGGTCTGTGCAGGATCTGTTGCCTTTCTGCTAGTAACTCATAGTGTAGCCCTAAACTGATAAATCAGTTTTGGAGCTTTCCAAACTTTGTTTAAAGTATATTCAAGTAGTACAACACAGCAATTTCCTGAAAGAGAAATCAATATCTTTTGGTAGGTTTAGGTGCTGTAGAAGCTTCTTTAGAAATCACAATGGAAAACGCTTTGTTTTGTGAAGATTTAGCCCATATACACCTCTTGCAATGTGCAGAGGTTGTCATGTGAGTACATCTGTGAACTGATTGTTTCTCCACATTATTTTGCTGCTTATAAAGACAGACTGTTAAAATAAAACACAATCTTTTTAAAGCAGAGGTAAACATTCTTAGGCTTCTGTTATTTGCATTTAAACTTCGAGCACAGGTCCTTCCCAGTTTCTTCATTTCCACTTCAAGTAAGACTGACCTTCAAATGAGTTTTCTGTGGAGACAACTCTGTGTTTTTAGTGACTTTGCTGAGAGGATTGAAATCAATCTGATCCAGGAGCTTAGGTATGACCTAGGGTGTAGGGGTTTTAACTGAGAGGAAAGGGAGCCTGTTGTATACCTCCTTCTCTAGCATATTAGTAGTTACTCTCAAATAGTGACCTTGTCTGCCTGGACAGTCAGGTGACTGTAAAACCAGGAGCCATGGCTGTTTGCTGAATTTCCTTTTGTTTCTTCTGAAGGCTCAGAGCAAGTGCCAGGCTATCCTGCCCAGCTTAATCTCTCCCTGATTATTCCAACATGTGTCTTTCTGGGTTTACTATACTAACCCAAATTCGCAGTGGTTCTTGGCTGTGGTGGAGACTTGTGAGGAAAGGGCATGGCAGCAGCAGCAGCAGCAGCAGCAGCTTGCCCCAGTGCTCTCTGTGATGCTGAGTCCTGTGGGTGGCTGCAGTCAGCCATCACACCCACTGGAAATTAAGGGGAGCCCTTTCACCACCTTGGTCTTTGCTGCTTCCACCAGTCACTCCATCTTTAGTTGCGTTTTCACTCTTCTCTGCTCTTTTCCAGCATTGATACCAACACAGTTAACCATGTCTTTCTGCCAGTGACAAAAACCCAACCTTCCTCTTCTTTTTCACAGCACTGTTAACTTTGATCAGCATCTCTGTCCTCGGAAAGCCTTTGTACTGGGATTTCTCATGAGAGTTCTCTGGTCTGCTGGGTAGTTGCTCCAGTTGTTAACAAATACAGCAAATCTTGGCTTTCAGTAAACAAGTACAGGAAGTTCACATTTATGAAAAGCTACTTTGCTTAAAAATCAAGTTAAAGGAATGTTTAGGTGTTCACTTTCGTCTTCTCAGGTCCCTTCACGTTGCCACCTTTATCACTTGTGTGCAGCCCGTGCTTTGTGGAAGATTCTCAAATGTACACACAGGCTGGGGTGCTGCATTTCAGTACATCAGGGCTGCCTGCACCTTTCAAAACCTCTTTTTAAACTACAGCAAGAACCTTCCTATCTCCTTATTTAAGTTCAGGTGCTAACAATAGACTGTTTCCACTGCTCTTTCTTTTTTTTGCCTCTTGGGTCTTCAGCCAGAACTCCCTGTGCTGATCGGTGCGCACTCTGCCATTGCTTTCCCTGCCACCTCTCCTTCCCTTTTATCTGGAGTTTGAGAAAGCAAAGCTCACATGATACTGCCAGAACTGTGTTTAGCTTTCTCACCAGAGAAGCCTGCCAGCAGAGTGCTGGAAAGGAGTTGATCTTCTGACCTGGTGACTTAATGACTAGAAAGTCATTCTCTCTATGCAGTTCAGAACTCTGCAGCAAAGCAAAGCTGTTCCTCTCAAGCTGGCTTAATTGTAAAGCCCCCTTCTGCAGCGCTTGACGCCTAAACCCAGGAGGAAGAGAATCAAAACCTGCTCATGCGCACAGTTGTGCATCTTAAGATTTCCAGTCGCTCTGAGAGTGAAGGACTGTGAGAATGTACCTGCCTCCCTTCCTCCTCCTCGCATTCTTCTGAGGCAGTACTTTATTTCTGGGTTTTTGTACTTTTCAGTCTTCCAAGTGATCTGGTTAATCCTTAAATTAGTTGATTTTGCAGATTTTCATGGTTTTGGATGGGAACCTTCAGAAATCGAAACATACTAATTTACTGTCTAAAGTTTCCTTCAGGTTCTATTCTGTTAAGTGTTGATTTTTTGATATTGTGGCATCTATTAGACAGCCAGCAGGGTGATGCTACCTCTTTATCTCCTGGTTTTTCTTTTGTGTGCATACCCCCTTCTTTGAGTCTTAAAAAAACCCAAACAAACCAGCAAAGCACACAAAAACATGACTACGCAGCCTTCTGCATTGTAGTCGCTATTGATATATTCCCATAGGATGGAATTCAGTTTCATTAAAACTGTTGTTTTCGTGACTTTGCCCAAATGCAGTTTCTCTCTGGTATAGAGCCCTTACTTCCTGGTATCAAATATGTGATGTTTTACTTCTGTCATGAGATCTTTATCTTCTGGTTTTTCTTTTGTGTGCATACCCCCTTTCTTTGAATCTTAAAAAAACCCAAACAAACCAGCAAAGCACACAAAAACATGACTACGCAGCCTTCTGCATTGTAGTCACTACTGATATATTCCCGTAGGATGGAATTCAGTTTCATTAAAACTGTTGTTTTCGTGACTTTGCCCAAATGCAGTTTCTGTCTGGTATAGAGCCCTTACTTCCTGGTATCAAATATGTGATGTTTTACTTCTGTCATGAGAATGTACAAGAACTTCAATGCTGTGCGTGTGCTGAAGACAACGCAAAGAGCCCACTTCCGTGAAGCTGAAGATGCCAAATATAAGGCTCATGTAAGCAAACTGTCCCCATTGCTCAGAAGCAGTTTGTAATGATAACGACAAATGGATCAAGCATTTCCCAGACAAAGCAGTCGCGACTGCCTTGGCTCAGATGTCTGCAGCTAGGGCTGCAAAGCAGCATGGCAGTTTCCACGCGTATTCTGAATACATTATGAACAAGGCTTGCCTTGCACGTTCTCTTAGTTTTCCAAAAGTCTGCTCAAGGAAGTCCTCCTGATGCCAAAGGAAATTGTGCACTGTGCACCTCTGAGAGAGGAATGATAGAGGCAAGAGAAAATTGATCACTGGCACTGTTTTTCTTTCTTTGTCTTTCTGCTGCTATTTAACATCCAGCTTTTCTCTGCCTGGATCAAGTTACCTTCTCCTCTCTCATTTACTTGCATTTCTTTATCCCATGTATCTCTCTTTCCTCCTGGAGCAAAGTAAAGGAACCATCCCGTCACGTTGTTCCAGGAGACAGAATAAACAGCAGCTTAGTGTGGATCTGGATATTAGGGTTTGTTTAAGGGCCAGTGAGACCAGGGCTTTTAACCTGCTTGATTATTTTACTCACTTGCTTTCCCCTCAGTGTTACATTCGCTAGGAGTTCACCTCCCATCCCAGCAGGGAGGTCGCTGCTTGGCCTGGGAGGGCTGGGTAGAAAGTCCTGTTGGCTGGCTTTGTGCTGCTGCCCCCAGTTACCAAGCTCGGACGTCATCGATCAAGGTCCCTGCGTGTCCCTTGGCGTTTGTCTCCACCATCTTCCTTCATCTTCAGGATCTTGCCCCATTTCCAGGATCTTTCCTCCAGCCAGGGTCTTCATCTTCTCCCTTTGAGGCCCCTGTTTTCTTTCCCAGATCACTACTACTTCTTGGGAACCCTTCTTTTTTGGCACCACCTCTTCTTTTTGTGGGCCTGTCTCTTGCTTTTTCTCATCTAAATAGTCTGTGATGCCGACACACAACACATGATCAACCTCCCACATTGGTGCTTCTATATTACGCCTCTTTATTGACGGGAGGACTTGGGGCATGCTGCTGTTGTTTAGTCCAGGGTTTGTCAAAATTTACAACCAGCACATACCAGTTGCACACAGCAAGCTTCTGCTTGAGAGTTCAAAAGTCTGTTTCGGACATTCACCACCACACAAACTTATACCAAGTTACCTGCCACTCGTAAGCATTCAATTTAAATTGCTTTTCACCTTCAAAGTTTGATTGCCAATATTGTTGCTGTTGTCTTTATTAGTAAGAAGCATAATGAAACAGTTAACACCTTGTCTTTGACAGCCTAATGGAAAGCCTGTGCTGAAGAGGAGCGCTCGCTGTGGTAGTGCAGTGATTTGTAAGCAGGTAGCATGACTTCCAAAGCTGTTTGCAGGATGAGATCCATGCCTCTCTGCCCCAGCTCTCTTAAGAGAGGCAGAAAGGAGCTGTCAGACCGAAACCCCGGGTATAACTGAAGCATTATGGATGGCTACAAACCCTAAAGCGGTGCTGGTTCCCATAGCAGCCTGTTCTTGGGCTTCACACTGTGTTTGGGTTATTGAATCATCGTTATGCTATAGCACCTGTCACCTTCAAAATGCAGTTTTTTCAGGCTGAAAACTTGTGCAGGAATGTGAAATCCTTTAAAACGGATGCTGCAGTGAAAGGTAGAAAATATTAATACAGTGGAATAGCCTGGTTCAAATAGACCTGTGTTCATTTTGCTATTCCAAGCATTTCCTGTAATCTCTTACAAAGACAGATACATTGTTGGCAAATACACACTGCTTTGGGCTTTCTGGAACTTTGCAGGGGATATTATCCTAGAGCAACAGAATTGTAATGCTTGTTTTGCCTTTTCCTTTCAAACCTCCAAGGTGCAGGAACTCCACGAGGAAGAAGCGCAGTGGGTGAACTACGACGAGGATGAACTGTGTGTCAAGATGCAGCTGGCAGACGGAATCTTCGAGGCCTTAATTAGCGACACTGTTGATGTACTGAACCAGATAAATGAGAAACGGCAGGGCCGCTGCATGCCTGCCAGTGCTGAAAATGCATTTACAGCCATGTCACCACAGAATCACAAGCCTTTCTGACTCCTGGCTCTGCTACTGGACTTCCATGCATGGCATTTAAAGGCAGTTAAGATGTGATTAAAGGAACCTGAGGTTGCATCTGCTGCCACTAGAGACTTCACACCGGATTTATTGTTTGGAACAAGCTGATCCCTCACTCGAGACTGGGGCTTTGACATGTTCGGCTTGTGCTCTGAAAGGCTGGAGTGAAGTTGGATTCTGGCTGTTTTGCTGGACTGGCTGTTAGACATCATTACTTGACTTGTCTTTAGAAATGTGAGTAATCTGGAGAAGAAATGGTTTGGTCAGGTTTTCATCATAAATGGAGACTTACTGTACTGAACAGTTATAGTCTTAACACCTCTTCTCCTGCAACCCTAACAATGCGCATCCATTTCTTCTGCTCCAGAGCCCGTTTAATTCTCTACAAAGTTGTTTTTCGTCTTACTTCTGTGATGTGGTACCAAGTGTGGTGCCAGCCAGTCCAAGGAAATTAGGCGTTGTTGCTTTCTGCATTCAAGTAAAGAAATCTTGCTGCTTTTCCTGTATAACTTGCTTCAGTTCCGAGGTGGAGCAAGATAAAGGCCGTCTAACGTCAAGTGTGAAAGAAGAGCCCATGGACAACTTTCCTCCTACCGTGTAGCACTTCTTCTCTTCCTGGAACACCAGCTGTTCCCAGATAACGGATACTCAGGATTTTCTCAGGCATGAGACATGCAGGAGTGGAAAACATTTCCTCACAAAAATTTGGCCTTCAATCCCTTCCTCCCTTACTGTCACCTAACAAATCGGAAAAGCTGTTACTTGAACAATTTAGAGAACAGTGCGTGTTCACCAAAGAAAATGGTGTCCGGTGCTTGACTGTCTGCATGTTTTGTGCTTGCGGGTTTTTTATTTATTTTCACATAATTTATTAAGTGAGTTATAGGAGAGTGCCGTGTACAGTTGGCCGCACTGTCTTTTGTTTTGAGACAGCTGGACTTGAGGAAGTGCACCTGTTCTGGAAACCTCCAGAGCCCCATTTTCTTCACGCACAACCTCCAGCTTCTTGAGACAGATACGGGGTGCAGGGAGGAGCTAAGAAGAACCAAACCTCAGTGACCAGGGGTGCAAAGCAGAGGCAGAACTAGGAATGGAGCTTCGCCGCCCCTGGTTCTGAGACAATGGAGAGTTGAGGGGACTGAACTGAAAAATGATGTGAAACTTCCCTGCTCCATCAGTTTCCTTCCTTTCCCAGAACTTCTAGGCCATGGGCAGCTGTGAGTGATTGACCTGTCCCTCCTGTTCTTGTGTTTTTCTTGGAGGAACACAGACAATCTGGGGCCGAATATTGATGCCTTAAGAGTGGATGTCCCTGTTTGCTAACCTTGGACAAGACCCAAAGGAGAGCCACATTGTCCAGACACACTGGAGTGCAGAAAGACACTTTGAAGCCCTCAGAGATGCCCCGAAGATGGTGCAGCCCACGATAGACGTGGTGGGGAGATCTCTACCCTTTTGTTCATCTGCTTGGTTCTTGGGCTTCCTGCTGTGCATACCTCTGCTACAGCTCCGCTTTGTTTTCTCTTTTCCACCTTTTTTTCTTTTGGTGGGGTCGGGGGGGGAGCTATCATGGGAATATTTGCATTTTGCACAATGACACACGGCTGGTAATTCTTCAGGGACAGCACTGGGAAATGTTGGATTTGTCAGAGGTCCATGCAAATTCTCAGTTGTAGCATTGCCAGCGCCTCACTCGTGATTTAATGGTGAGCCATATTCATTGGGAGCTTAATGAGTGGAAGAACAAGGAGGTAATGGCACATAGCAACATTGCCAATGGGCATGTGTGTGTCTGTCCTGCAGTAGTGACCCTTCTGGCTGGCTGGAAGTCTTGGTGGAGCATTGTTCAGCTTTTTTTCGCCAAGTGATTCACTTGTCCACGTAAAATGTCATGATGCTGAACCAGGAAACTCTCAAATGCTTAAGATAGAAGCAAACTAAAGCTGCTGCGTTTAACCAGCATGGTGTCACAGATTGGGTCACCACCTCAGATTCCCTTTCCTGGGTGTACCTTCTTCAGTAGCAAGGATTGCTGTTTTTATAGGTAGCAATTATGGAAAGAAGGCAGAAACCTGCAGTGTAGGTTTGTGGCTGGGAGTATCAGAGAAATGAAGCTAGTTTCTGTTCTGTAGATAGTAGCCAGTGTTGAGAAGGCTGCCCTGCATCCCCAAGGCTTTTTGGCTCTTCTGTGGGGCTGGCATGACTTTTCTGGTCTGTCCACTGGCAAGGAGAAGGTTGTACTGTGTACAGGAGCGGTTGGACGTGATGATCTTGGAGGTCTTTTCCAACCGAGCGATTCTGTGATACTGTTGGCCTGCCGAAGTACTGGAGACCACTGGAGTTATGCCTGTTGTCTTGCTGGCTTGGATAGCACTAGTTTAATACCCTCAACAGAAGTTGTAACTATTTTTACAGCTGTTTGGGCAGAAACAAGCTGTGTCTAAGTAATGGCTTTATTTCTTTGCAAACATCACCGTTTGGTTGTGGTAGCAATCCTTGCTAGGAATGTGAATTATCTTCTCAGTACCTCAAGTGTGTTGAGTTACGTTGAGTTGAGTGTATTCTCAAAATCTGGAGCGTGTTGAGTACATGTGGACTGATGATTACCGTGATGAAGCAGTGGTCTGTCTGGGCCGTGGCTGGTAAGGAGACATGGGGAAGCCTGGAGCCTCACAAACAGAGGCTGAATTCTCTATTTCTCTCCTCTCCCCAACCTTCCCTTTATAAGAACAAGATGGGTCCTGGTTATCTTGGTGCAACCACGTGAAAAGATTCAAGGCTGAGACATTTTTCTGAGACCCATAAACTGTTTGGGGCAATGGCCGTCACCCCTTGGGGAGATGCGGTTCCCTCTGTGGAAGGATCTGGGTGCCTGGTGGGAAAGCCCAGGCTTGTGAGAACAAGAAGCGCGAGTACCTCTCACAGCAGGATGCTCCTTGAGCCGAGCTGTGGAATATCAGTACTTCTGCCTTTCGGAAAAGGCTCACAAGATGGAACAAGGGATTGAAAAATCCTGTCCAGTTCACTTTCCTTTCTTGAAAAAGTGGCCTTAGCTTTTTTGCAATACTTGAATAAGTGTGTACCTGCAGAAGATCTTCAGTAGCACAGCGATAGAGACCTTTTCAGTGACTATTCTGCAAGGAACTGCGTGCAGTTCCAACTTTCATATCCCTTTGCTACCTTAAGAATATTAGGAAATAAAGTACTTTTCAGCAGAGAAACAGTTGAATCTTACAAGGTATTTAGTGCATCTGAAGTGTTTACAAATAAAGTAAAATGGAGAAGAGGAAACTATTGAACTTATTTGTAATTTAAATGTCAAATGCAAAACTATATACAGATCAAAGAGGAATACTGTAATTAACCTGCATTCACTAATTTTTCCTTGACTTTGCAGAGCCTTTTGATACACATTTGCAAAGCCACCTTTTGGGAGGCTCCGTCTCCCTGTGTACTGTGTTGTGAAGATGCTGAAAAGAAACCCGTTTACTGTGTATGTGTAAATAAACTGGTAACTTGGTTTTTGGGCCAGTTTCAGCTAATGTCCACATCCAGAGCAGCTTTGCACAGTAGGCAGACCCAAGGATGTGGAGGTTTGGGGTTTTTGGGGTTGTTTCTTTTTTTTTGTAATTAAGAACTGTAAAATAACCAGGGTTGTCCCTGTGTACACCAGTGTAAATATCTTTGGTAACTGAAATGTACTTTAAGAGAAGAAAATCTGTAAATAAATTGATTTATAAATTAATCTTGTTTCCTGCTTCTTTATAAAATGAAGCTTTATAATTACCCAAATGGTTGCTAATTCTAAAGGTGTCCTGGAGATTTGTCCCTTGTACATTCCTCTGTCTGATGCTGTACTTGGGATGCCAATCACAGTCCACAAAATCCCATTAGAGTCGCCTTAATTATAATCATAACGTTATTAGAATTTCCATATTGTTAAAGCTTGAGTGTTGATAAAAGCAAAACCAGAAGCTAGCGTAGCGTGATCATTGCAGGAGAGCACTGCGTGATCTGCAGGAGAAGAGTAACTCCTTGCACACCTTTATTTAAAACAGGTTTTTAAAACTCATGGTTTAAAACATTTGGGGAGGGGGAAAAAAAATCTCTTTTTATGCTAAATAACAGTCTTGGAATTGAATTCTTGAGGGTCTCAGTCTTGTTTCGGATCCCTCAATCGGGCTCCTAAACTGTTCCAGCTCTGTAGAGCTCCTGCTACCAGCACTGGTCACTTGTTCGCCAAGGGGGCAAGTGTTGCTCCCTGGAAATAGGGTTTTATTGGTGGAATTTTCCTAAATCGTCGTTTCCTTTCCAGCAAAAATAAATAAAACCCCACAACCAACTCCTTTTTGACGTGTGAAAAGTCCCACAGCTCTGTAAGAGGGCGGCTGAGCACTTGTGGTGCCCAACATCCGGACAACCCAGTGCTGGTCTCTCCGGCTGGGAGGACGGTGTGTGGCAGTCTGCTCCTCACCGCTCCTCTCTGCCTGGGAGGGGCACATGCATCAAACCCCTGTGAACAAAACCATTGCAAAGGTGTTGCTCTGTGCTGAGGAGTTCTTTGCTCTTTGCTTTTCCTTCAGAGAGGTATCTCATTCTGGAGGAGGACTCGTTACATGCGGACCTTCACCGTGGAAGCAGTTTTGCTGCAGTCCTAGAGTGCCAGCATGCAGTAGGAGTAGTTCCCAGCAGAGCGTGCCGGGAACGCTGTCCACAGCCCTGGTGCGGACAGAGAAGCTCGTCACGGCCCTCTGAGCTCACGGGTCGAACCAGTCTAAGCGCAGTGGTGAGCCCTTTGATGTCCAAAGGGCTGAGACAAAGTGGTGCTGCAGCCTCTGTGCTCTCATTACTGAGCAGCAGGAGAGCATCCGTGTCGCTATTTCTTCACCCTGCAGCGATTTTGCTCCATGACTCCTCAATTTACAGACGTCAGCATCCATCCCTGGAAGTGGCCTAAAGTACATTAAGTACATTTCACA